AAGAAAGTTATACCATATCATCATGGAACAACTCAGCATATACTTTTAAAATACGACTCTATTCAAGCCTTTCAAACGTTTTCTTTGAAAGGCAATACTAAAGAAACTATCTGCCAAAATAATTTCTGCTGCGACTTTAAAGTAGAAATTATAAAAGTAGATCCAAATATAAAATATCGTTTAGTAGTTTTTAATGGAGATCGGTTGTATGGTGATGTTAAAGTTGGTGTACGTACATGCGGTATAATTCAATGTTTGAACAACTCGGTTTCATCATGCGGTTCCGTACAAGAATCAGAAACAATATTCAGCAATATTGAGATTGCGGCAACATTCCACAATTATAAAAACAGTTTAATTATGCCGTCTACTTTAAATCCCGATTTACTTCCGCTTGAAGATTGGACATTTCTTGATCACACTCACAACGATCATATACACGTTAACATGTTTTCAAATGTGCATACAAACAATTTAGTAACATTTGGAATATATTCGAGAAACTTTAATAAGAATAACGCAAATAGAACATCATTTTATACCGTTAATTATTTCGTAATATTATTAATAACGTTATTGTTATCAAAATTGTAAATTATATATTTATACACGCAACACGTCTATATACTTTTATCTATTTTTAAATATATTTTGCATACATATTTTTATGCAATATACCTTCCAGAAATCATGTACTTTTTTGTTTACATTTATTCAATAAATTCAATAATTCTTTGCTTCTACTTTTCAATATCAAGGAAAAGAAATTAAATCAAAAGTTAAATTTTAATTAGCATCTTTTCTTGTAAATTTACAGATTGTAGCATCTATAGAAATTGATATAAATAATTCTTTAACATTGTGTATATAAATGCAAAATATATTTTTGATATAATCATATACAAGTGTACTAGAATTTTATTATAGTACAATATAAGAAATATTGTTGATTATAAAATTATTATTGCAATTATATTAAATTAATATATATGCATATAGTACATGAATATAATAATATATATATTAATTA